AGAGGATCCTCTGCAATGTCTGGAGAACTGATGTATCTATTCAGTTCAGTGAAGGACCTTCTTCACTGTCAGTTTCGGTGCCAAATTCTGACAACTCTTTGCATTCGCAAGGCAAATTTCTATGGAAAACTCCAGTGAAGGATCACTGACTTGCCCTTGTGGGATGGAACAGTTTTGCTGCTTTTGATAACTGGGATTTTTGGAGTACACAAAGAGTTGTCAGGGCTCATTTACTTTTCACATTTCTACCTTGCTGCAATCCAGAAACTCTCGGTGGTTTATTTAGAGCTTAAAAACCCAGTAAATATGCACCCTGTAACAACTTATAAAAACAATAGACCACTACCCACCCAAATAGAAAAACAATAAATGAAACTGAAAATGGCTCATTAGCAAACTTCTTCTCTTACATAAGGATGCCCTTAACATTAGCTTTAATGAAATGCCAGGTTGGGCACAGCATATGGCAAATTGGCAAGTCTAGGATGTCTGGGTGCCAGGAAGGTTGGCATTACAAATGGCAAGCTTGACCTCCCCTGGAAAATCCCTCCTCTCCACTGGACAAAGCTCAGCTGTATCAGGGCCATGGCTTACTTGCAGTAATCTTTGTTAGCAGAAGCAGAATGGCCCAGCCTGACACTGTGTGAAAAAAGCATTCCTTTAGAGCAATTCACTCTTAAAAAACAACGGCCATTGTGTTATGCTGTATTTTATATGTCTTCAATCAGGTCTTTTATTGCTTTCAGCTTTACCGCAATGGTGAACCACCACAAAGTTGCTTTCCAGGTTTTTTTATAATTGCATTCCCCCCCCCCCCCAAGTAGACTGCTGCAACGTGAACTCAAACAGAACAGGTCCATGTGTGCTCAAAATTGCAAGAATAACACAATTGGTTTTTGATTTTTTTTTTATTATACAGAAGGCAAATAATCATTCTTTTGGTTTTTGTTTTGTTTTTTAAAACAGAACTCCATTGTTAAAACGTTAATTCTAAATACAGTAAAATCTGAATATTCCATTATGAATAAAAGGAATGAAGTGCATCCCTCTATTGTAGAGAGATCTGTATGGACTGTTGCTTTTCCAATGGCAGGAAGATTTTACTCTGAAGCTAGGATAGGCGTTCCTCGCTTGAGCGGTGAAATCTGCTACAAATGGATCCTGGTTTTTTTTTTTTTAATAGATGATAGCATCTCCTCTTCTCGATCAAGCTCTGGGGTAACCAGTTCCATGTGAATACAACACAATAATTTAGATGGTGCAATCATGACCCTCCTTTACCCATACGTACAACACAAGGAAAATAGAAAAAGAGGGATTGTCCACTTAAAAATGGGGACAGAGGCAAGAAATGAAGAACTTGGTCTCTGATACATTATGAAGTAGATCAAGCCATTTGCCCTAAGAAGCAAGAGTCACTTCATGGAGAATCCTGTATTGCTGAGTCTTCAAACCTGGCAGCTTTAAGACTTGTGGACTTCAACTCCCAGAATTTTCCAGCCAGCATGGCTGGAGAATTCTGGGAATTGAAGTCCACAAGTCTTAAAGCTGCCAAGTTTGGGGACCCTTGCTGTATTGCAACATTGCCCCTTTCTCAGTATTATCTGGACTATTTCTATGTAAAAAATAACCATCCAGAGGTCTAAACCAGAGATGGGTAAACTCTTGGCTCTCTACATGTAGCTGAGAATCTCGGCACCTTTTACTGTGGCAGACCAGCTCTTCTGTGAATGTTTCTTCAAAGGCAATTCTGCAATGACTTGGCAAGATTTTTATTATTATTATTATTATTGCTATCCAATAAACAGCCAGGACAGCTGTATTCAGTTCATTTCCTGATTCTAGTCTGGTTGAAAAGGGATAAAAGCTCCCTGCATAGAACATAATAATTTGAATAATTATCAAAGAAGGGTAGTGAGAAGCAATAGTTTGGTTTAATGCAGGAGTTGAAGTCCACAAGTCTTAAAGTTGCCAAAGTTGGACACCTCTGTTTAACGCATCAGGCTATATACGTATAACTGAATTTATTTTAATCATACTGATCTAGTTTGATTTCTGTATTGAATACTTCAATATATTAGCTTGACTGCACAATAGGAAAATATTTCATCAAGCTATGTTCTGTGATAAAATGTGCAATGTTTTCTAGAATTTTGAAATCTAATAAAATTACTTTATGAAAAAACTGTCAAATCTAAACACTCACAAAGAGAGAGGGGAGAAAAACTATATATGCTGAGAGGCTCACTGCTACAATTGTCTATTTTCCTCCTAGCATTAAGTAGGTAGAAAATGGGGTCCATTCAGAGCTAGCTGAGTGGGGATGAGATAAAATCTCTTGACATTATTTTGGCCAAGATAGCTGAACCTACTGCAAGATGTAGTTTAGCAATACTTTAAGTCAACCCTTTGAGATTCTTCATTCATGAATTGCCTGCCTAGATGTTGGAGAAGAGCAGGTTGAGCTGGAAGGCAGAGTTAAATGTGTCATCAGTTTGGAGTCATTGTGTTACCCCAAGAGATCTAATTCCAGCCCAGTCCCCCCATGAATTCCATTGACCCTTTATCTAGTGCCAGTTTAGCTTTGACCATTAGTTAATTAGATTCTTGTGTATGGGTAGCAATAATAACCTGTTCTGTGCTTTGAACTCAACAAATGCTCCTGGGTATTTGTGCATGACATTAGCATCACAAAATGGCAGTGGTGAGGATTTCAGATCTACACAACAAATTTATAAATTCAGTAAGAGATATAAAAATAGAGAGTTTCCACTTGTCTTAAACAACTGTCAACAAGGCTTACAAGACTGGCACCCCAAATAGCACAACCTTATGAGTTCAAATCAACATTGCCAGGATTGCTCTTAAATCCCTGGTTTCTAAATTTGTACCAAGAAGTCATGTTTCCAATTTAGGCCCTTTTATCTCCTAATTTTTTGAGGAATCCAAGTTTCTACAAACATACAAATATTTATTTTAGCTAATCTGCACAAACGTAGTCGAAGTTAGACATACATTTAAATCAACTGATTTAAATATATGAATACCATATTCCATATACTGTACAAAATGAGCATGTTTTCTAAGAAATCTTACAAGTTGAGCATTTCACAGCTGCAGCTCATCATTTAGAAGAAACATTCAAAAGAGAAACAGGCAAAAAGTTCCTTGTCTAAGGACCGCAATATGAATTAAAACAAATGCAGCTCCAGGAAGATTCTAGCACCACATTTAAAGATACTAGCTAGTTCAAATTGATTAATATGCAGAAAATCAACACAATGCTATGCCGAGTGTTTTGAGTTATACAATCTGAACCATATTTCTGAACTTTAGGAGATCTGTGAGTACGAAGAGCTGCATTCCCAAATCAGTAGTGTTGGGTAACATAAAACTATCTAGGGAAATTAGCAGCAACTGGAGTGTCATTAAAAACTATTGACTGTTGTTTAGATACCATGACTTGGGGCCCCTGGAAGCTAAACTCACATTTGTTTTTCAGAAGTATTTCTTTCTATTATACATAGGTGGAATCTGTGAAAGGAAACAACCATAACAACTCCAGCAGTATCAGCATAGTATCAGATATGATGTTGCTCAGAAAAGGCAAAAAAAATAATTTTACAAGTTGTATTCCTAGGAATAGATATATTGAGAGTTAATCATGCCATGCAGTCAACCGAACTAGGTTTCATGAGAGAATCTCTTTCTACCCAAGATCTCTTCCAATGCCACAAATAAAACTATTTATTTTTTTTATATTAAAAAATCTTACTATGTGGCTCATAGTAAGTAGAGTGGAGTAGAGCCACTTCACATTCAGCATTAGAATGCACAACACAGTTAACAGAGATAGCTGAATTACAATTTCAAGTTGCTTGAATTGTGAAATACCTGTTAAATACATCTTTTAAAATGTCAAAAATAAATGCTTCTTAGTGTCTCCCCACCCCCTTATTTACCTAGTGAATTTATTGGATGTTATACAAAGAAAGAACTAGGCCTTAAGTAAGGTCTAAATCAAAAATGGCACACATATTAATGCCAAGATGCAGTGCATGGTTAAGGAATCATTGTGGTAGGTCATGTTTCAATCTTCTAAAATAGAAATATGAAGAAGACAGCAAAAAAGTGCCTTATACCACAAAGCGACTCAGTGCTGCTGTTGGTATGGTCACAAGCATACATAGACACAGGCAATACTATACACAACAGCATTGTCTCTCATTAGGTTTCTGCACAGTCCTGCATTCTGGCCTGGTTCGAATAATATCTTGCGTTTACTGAGTCCAAGAGATGCATAGGCCTTGTGCTGCATATATGTCCTTGCACTGCTCCTTCTCTCCTCCAGTTGGAAGTTTGTTTTAAGATTGGGGCTTCTTCTGATACTAGGAAGGAAAATTTCCAGGTATGGACATGATAAGAAATTATGGCTAATTAATCCATGAAGCACTGCTTATGGTTCACAATGGGAAAAAAGAGAAGATAATACAATGAGAGAATGCAAGGGTGCAAGTCTTACACATATTCTATCTTGGCTTAATAAGCTGAGAATTCTACATCAAAACTCGGCTGGCATTGGTTTACATCCATTATTCATAGCTCACTTATCTGCCTAAAGGCACAAGGCAAGCATTACGCATATAAATTTAAAAACTTAACAAAATTATTGTATATACATGTGCAGGCCTTGGTGAAAACCCTGCTAAATTTGTTAGAAAAGGAGTTTACCAGTCTCAGAAAGAACTGGCTAACTGGAACACACTCCTTGCTCCACACAACACATGCACTCGGTGTTGCAAAAGTTAAATGAACGTGGAGACCAAGGGGGGGGGGGTGTTGCACCAAGATCTTCACAGGCACACCGTCAAGAGTTATGACTGTTTGGAGATTATCCCAAAGAGTTATTCTGCATACAGCCACACACACACACGCACACACAAAAACCACCTCTCCCCAAAACACAACCCTCTTAACATAACAAAAAACAAAGGCACATAGACACTTTCATTATTTATATAGTCAAATTAAAAGGTACCTCTTAAAACTTTTTGAATGGTAATACAAGCACATAAATGGATGTCGTGCATTACGAAGTCAGTCATGTTATTGATACAAATCCACACACACTGCAGCAACAGGAAGAAATCAATTGTTATATCATGAAAATTATGCATCTTTACTAACACCACCACAAACTATTAAATTATGTAAACAAACACCTTCTCTAAATAATTTAAAAGTCCATTTCTCAAAGGGGGGGCATTACTGAAGCATTGCTCGAACTTGCTTCGAAGTGGATTCATCATTCAGGTGTTTTGTGGTGAACCTAAAAGTGAGAAAGACAAAAATCAAAAGGCTGGTATTACTTCCATGCAGAAAAGCAATTCTACACATCCCTTCACAGCAATAGAGCTGACTCCCAGATTTAATCTGTAGGGCTTTCGGTCTTAATTATATAACAATTTCCCCCAAAGCCATTTTGAGAATAACTGATAACTGATACCAAACACCATCTTTATACTCGCATTATACTACCGCAAATGCAAGATGAGCATGTAATGAGTAACCTTAAGAAATTCATGGATTGAAATGTGGCTTATGCTACTTTTACTATAAACCTAGTTACAAATGAGCTTGTGGTACTGCTTCTCTAATGCAGATATTGTATACTCCAAGCTCATCAACATTTCCTATTTTTCTCCAGCCTTGTCCCCATTTCCCTCCTTCCAAGTTTCTCTCGGGAGACCCGTTTCCTTGCAAAATGCAATCTACTTAACTAGTCAACCATATAGCTCCATAGCTGATGTTTTAAAACCTGGAGATCCTGTGTAATAAGTAACTGTTCTTACTGTGAGCCAATATGCAGTTCACTCACGCCTGTCCTTTGGAGGGGTGGAGAACTGAATGCATCTAGAATAGCCAATTTAACAACTTTCACAGTGTGCAACCCAGTGATGGGATTCAAATTTTTTTACTACTGGTTCTGTGGGCGTGGCTTGGTGGGTGTGGCAGGGAAAGGATACTGTAAAATCTCCATTCCCTCCCCATTCCAGGGGAAGGTTACTGCAAAATTCCCATTTCCTCCCGATCAGCTGGGACTCAGGAGGCAGAGAATAGATGGGGGCGGGGCCAGTCAGAGGTGGTATTTACCGGTTCTCCAAACTACTCAAAATTTCCGCTACCGGTTTTCCAGAACTGGTCAGAACCTGCTGAATACCACCTCTGGTGCAACCTGGTTGAAGTAAGGCCACAGCTGTATGGGCAACTCCTGACATTTTTGATCCTAACAATTTTCTCTGTGCATGAAAGTAAGAGTCAAATTCAAGATGGAGAAGAAAAGTGGCCTCACTGAGTCCTATTTTCTCCTCCTCCTCCCCTTACAAAAAGAAAAGCAGCTCTTTTTTAGAAGCTTCCTCAAGTGAAGAAAATAATCTGATGGCTGACCTCATTCCTTTGTGGCAGTTTTACAATTAGTACGTTGTACAGTTTTGCAATTAGTACATTGAGGGGAAGGGGAAAATCATGCATTACGCCCCATAAAAATAAAATATTGTTGGTCCAGGAGGTACCTGAGAGCATTCAAAAGCCCTTCAACAGTGTCTGGTGACTGTTCTCTTAAAACCTTTATGCAACCCTTCATCTGTGAAAAAAAAGAAATGTGCAAGAAAAAAAGCCTGAATTTGGGTGCATGCAAAATACCCAAAGATAAGGAATGAAAACAATGAATTCTATCAGAATGGTGTATTTCCCTTGAGGGTTTTTTTGTTTTGTTTTTTTGCCCCCCTAAAAGAATGCTTGCTCTGCCAGACTCATGGGACAGAAAAGAGACAGGAAATAATTTGCTCTGCTCATCATACCCAGCGAGCCTTGCTGCCTTCAAATCAAGTCTTTATAAAACAGGACTCTCTCAGCAAATTATGCTTCAATTATGCCAAGAATCTCAGTCATTTTCCAACAAGATGACAACAATTTTTAGAAATACAATTACATGATCTCCCTGAATCCACGCCTCAAAATCTTCACATAGTTTTGAACGCTGTTTAGAGCTATTAGGCAGAGCTGAAACTCCATAAATGATTCCAACCCTACTTTTATCTAGGGAACACTGCCGCCACTATTTTCTAGACCTCTTATCTTCAGTTTCTGCAATAGGGGGTTTACCCAGCACTTTATCTCTCAATATTGCTTTGAGGAGTTAAAATGGTGGGGACAGAGGCAGGCATACACATTTGAAACGATAACAATATAAAAAGAAAAGTGTGACAAAGAAAACATCGCACTGGGAAATGCTCCTCATTTTCTTCCTTGTCCCCCGCTTTTCAAAATGCTGATGGTAAACTCTGAACCTAAAATTTATAGTACAGCCTTGGGCTCCAATAGCGGATGGGTCTTCTTTATCGGCTGGCCTGGGGGAATCTTCCACCATGAGGAGAGAAAAAGCAGCCACTGCTGTTGCAGTAGCAAGTGACAAAACTATCATCTTTATTAGCTGCTCAAGTTCCTGAAAGAACTAAGAACTTGCCTCCCGCTCCCAACAGCATACAGAGGCCAAATGCTCTACAAGGAAAAGCAGCAGAACTATATTATCTAAAGGTATCAACTCCGTCTCCAATCCACTTTATAAACAGCATAAAACATTTAACTGAGGCAGCTCATTTCCCTCTTTATCCCCATTTCTCTGCATCATTTTAAATTGTAAATCTGTGAACAGAGATTGCCACTGAGGGGCCCTGCGCTACTTCGGTAATCCTTTTAACCCAAGGCATTTAAACATGTTTCTGCTATATAGCTTGGCTTGGCTGGGTTTTACAGCTGCTTTAAATTTTATTATTTGCTTTTATTGTAATTTTATTATTGCAAAGAGTTTTATACTCAGTAATTAATTATCTAAAATGTTAGCATTTGGATAAGGTGCAGGTTGTCTTCAGGAAATTATTGAAAATTATTTTCCCGTGATATGGAATATTAGCGAGTTTCCAATTTTTTACTCCTTCTTTGCGTGTTAACGCAACATTTCATTGCATTTTATTCAGTACTGTAAACTGGTTTGAAATTCTTGCCATCCTATATGTCAGTGTAGAGATTTTAATCAAGTATTTTTAAGAGCAAATACCCAGCGTAAAGTTTTTTCTCTTTGCCATACAAATATGGTATGTTTTAAACCATCGCTGAACCCAACATAATCGTCTTTTTCCACAAGACCTGTGAATTTTTGCTAGGAATAAGAAAACCTTGCTGATCATTATTCTTACATCTATTTTTGAAGCCTTTGAGAAAGCTCCCACTGGATGAACGTGGTCGTAGAGAATAATTACCCCAACCATTACTCTCATGCAGAACATGAGGGTTTCTTCGCTGGTGAATCTACTTCTATATTCTCTGAAACATAAGAATTTTTTTTTTAATGGTATTAATGTTAGTATTTTTAAAACAAATATTATTTCAATACATTTCCATCTTTCAAATTAAAAATGCTTTACCTTCAATATCGTGTAGAAAAGAATTATTCAAGGGAGAATAACATAGAGGACAATATCAATGACTGTAAAGATTAGCAACAGTAGTCACTGGCAAAATAGAAGGCTTTGTAAAAAAAAAAGTATGAGAGAGAAGAGCAAAGAAGACAGAACTCAGAATGAACACAAAGGTTTGTTTCCTTTCCAATGAACATTTATTTCACATTGTTGATCCCAATTCTACCGCTGAAAGGAAGTGGGAGTGTTTGGTTCAGTCATAAAATGACTATAAGACACAAATAAAAATACAGGCGTGCCGATATCCTGCAGATGCACACATACTGTAGGCACAAACGCAAATGTCATTGCCCTTGATTTGGCTAAAGTTACCTCACACAATATTGTCTTTTAGAGCATTGTGTTGCATCCTGAAATCACGATACATTTAAAATGGAGAGCTGTGGAGGAGGATTAGTCTCTCGTTGCCACTTTGGTGTTGCAGAATCATTATAATATAACATTAATATGCTTTGATAAGTCGGGAAGCTCTTCCAGCAGTGGGAAAGTAACACCTTCACAGAAAACTGATACCTTCAGCTGGTGGGAGGATATAGAGGAACATAATGAACTAGATTAGTTGTTTGAAGTGAGGTAGGAGTGGGAAAGAGATAGCAAACGGGCCATTTGTTGCAACATCTTTGGGGGGGAGGAACTATTCTTTCTTGGCATCTGATGCAAGACTAAAAGGTATGCCTCCAGGATGGTTTACTTGTATCTTTTTAACATTACACAAATCTTTTAAAGTTATCTTAGGCATTCAGAACTTTCTGAGGAAATTAAATTAAAACCTGGCATAGGAAATTCATAATTCAGGAAAATGCAGGGAATATGTAACAATGTCTAATTTTAATCTTGCATTCTTTATGCTGCAAAATTGTTATTTTATAATGACTTTGAGAAAGCTGTGCATCAGCAATTTTAAAATTAATGGATCGATAGAAATGAAGTGTGTGTGAAATTTTTTTTTAACACTATTCCATTTAAAAGTATTTTGGCTTTAAGCACTATTCTATTACCAAAACCTATTTGAAAAGAAGGTGCAAAGGAAGGATGAATAGGTAGGTTGCTGGATGATGAAGAAAAGTAACTGTTGGCATTTTCTATACATAGTCATTTCAGCATGGATGATGGGAGCAAGGTTCACTGAGTTTTCCTGATAGAATGACCAACCTTCAAACATCAAAGCCTGTAAAAATACACAATCGGCTAAAAGGATAAGTCATGTGGAAAGTGACCTGTTTTAAAGATCTTTAACCTTTTCATCCTGCCATATCGTTTTCCACTCTCCCAACTAAATATTGAAGCTTTAAAAAAAAATAAGGATAACAAGCCAGTATAATTCATTTAAGGATTAATTTATAACACAGCATCGCCTGTTTCAATATTCAAAAGTATTTTAAAAATGCTTTTAGCTGTTCCTTGAAGAAAGAATACACTCAGAAAAGTGACTTATACAAATACAAAATAAAAATGTGACTATTACAACCAGCAACCAGTAGCAATATGACTTTTTAAAATCATTTGATTGGAAGCAAACAGAAGAAAGAAAACATTCCACTTAATGGACTACCCATATATACCTGTGTGAACAGAATGCAAGTTTCCACAAGCCTTTAATCTGTATTCAGCAGGACTTTCCTTGTGTTATGGTAGCCTCAGCAGGAGACAGTCACTGGGATCTTGTGGGGACCCAGAAACTAACAGGGGGCAGGCCTACTTACTACTTGTATGGGAGACTGCCAGGGCTACCTCAGAGGAAGGCAAAAGCAAGCCACTTCTAGGAGACAGCCAAGAAAACTACACTACTGTGTTCATAAAATCACCAAAAAAATTGAACTCAGTTTGCAGGAGGGTTGATTTCACCAACTTAAAGTAAAAAGTATCTAGGTAAGTGATGATAGGTTCAATTGACTAGGAATTTCCCAGAGAAGAACAAAAGAGACCTTGGCATAACTTGTACTTTAACTCCAGAGGAAATCAAACGAGAACTAGACATTAGAAATGTTCAAGTTACTGCCAAACATGTCTGACATATACAGATTATCTCTAGATACAGCCAATGAAGTCACATATTTTCTGTTTAGTTCTGCGTTGAGGATTTCAAACACCAGCAAGCCAGTATTCACGGAAGTGCTGGGTCAGTAATGAATGATCAGCATGTTAGCCTACATTTTTACTTCAATGGCTCCTTCTTAATTCTTCTGACAGAAAACCATGGACAGCTCCTACTGTGATGTTTTTAATGCAGAAAGGAGTAGGCAACCTGTGGCATCAGGGCTGCATGCATCCTCAAAATCCTTTTCTAAAGCCACCAGAGCTTCCTATATCACAACTGCTGAAAATCATCAGGTCCTTTCCTTTTCAGGTAGGAAATAGTCATGCAAGCCCTCCAGAAAATCACAGCCTCCTGTGTGTGGTTCACTCCTACACACTTTCTAGATGCCCAAATTACCGTGACTCTTAGCCCCGCAAATATGACCAAACCAGCCCCAACATCTCAAATGTTTTTCACCCCTAGATATAGTGTTGAACAAGGGCCTTTGTCTTATTTCACTGTGGTTCAGATTGCAAAATACATCACCTACAGCTCGTGTGTGTTAGGGCTGTGGAGTGATTCATATTTGACAGAGAAAAGATGATGGATGATAAGATGGACAGACATTAGATGATTGATGAAAAGATATAGCACCTGCTGGCAACTCATTAACAAGCTTATGCATTTTCCCAGCCAAAGTACAGACTCAATAAAAGTTTTTACAAGTAGTCCTTGACTTACAACTGGTTGTTTAGAGACCAACTGAAAGTACGTACTTATGACCCAGTTCCAAAGATCCCATGGTTTTGTGACCAGATTCTGGGCACTCTGCAACCAGCTAACATTTAAGACCATTTGCAGCATCCCCTGGTCATGTGACTGTGATTTAGGACATTTTTGCTGATAACCAGTTTACTTTACTTCCGGTTTTCGATGAAATGCCCCATAGCAAACAATGGATTTTACTTAACGACTGCAGATTCACTTAGCAACCATGGTGATTCTCTTAATGGCTGCCACAAAAAAGGTCATAAAATTGGTTTTGTCACACGCCTATGGAGATTCTCAATCATCCAGGTCATGGTTGTCCCAAAGGTGTTTTTTTTTCAAGAGGCAACTGGATTTGCTGGTCTTTCTTGGTGGGGAATGGAAGGATTTATACTCCTTGCAGAAAGCTGGTCATCTGCATTCTTTTTAGAGAGCCGTTGAGGCCACTTGGTGGTTTATCTGTGTCGTCAGGGTGACCACCATTCTATTCCTCACCATCCAGTCAGAGCTGAAGAAGCTTCTTGGATGAGGAGTGAAATGTCTTCAAAGAAAAACCAGAAAGTCCAGTTGCCTCTTGGAAAAAAGTACCTTTCGGTTTGTCACATGATGACCTGCTTTACGTACCCTCATGCTTTACAACCATAATAGGCAAGCTCCATTATGGACATAAGTCAAGGACTACCTGCATCTGATTTAAGGTAGTGTCAAAAGGTGTTCCATCTGCTTCCAATTGCCTTTCCCTTTCAGATCTGGATTGTGGTGCAGCTTTCATCCATGCCTTGCTTAATTGCTGATGAAGATAACGGAAGAGTCAGTGGAAGCTATTGGAGCACTGCCCACCAGCAAGCTGCTCATTCATTGCTAAACCAGAATCTTGGCAAAAGATGATTTGATTTTTTTAAAAAAAAATCATTTCCTTATTATAGCAACATTGATACATATGTCCATTGCTCATAACTTACGGTGTTTCCAGCATGACTTTACATACACTGGCCATCGTGCTTAGACAATCTGTTGTGTTCTCAATTGGCAACGTTTTATTCTACAAAAGTTAAAACAAGCCAACAAAAGAGGTCAGTTAGGGTCAGTCTAGACTTCTGATTCGATTTTGAGCTTTCTGAAAGAAATTAAAACTTTTGCTCACTTCTACAACAAAATGGGTGGTAGCATTACTCAGCGTTTTCAGAACCGGTGTAGCTTCTGCGTAGAACAGTGACATCCTGTTAGCCATCTCATTGTTCACTTCACTCTCAATGTCAAGCTGTTTAAAACATGAGAGAAGATGAGTGTTATTTGCTTTTTTAGAAAAGCGCTTTTCATACATAAATGTATGAGAGGTTCCAGCTCATATTCAAAGTACAAAAATGTTCCAAGCCTTGTAACCAAGATTGCAAAATTATGCAATCTTTGTGTCCTAAGGAAAGCTGGAATTCTGGTTTTTTAAACAGTATTTCTCCTTTAGGGAAACAGCTTTTGAAGTGGATTTTCAAAAGCATTGTATAGCACTAGGCAAGTTGTTGTGTTCAAAGAAAAACTTAAAATACTACTATTTTTCATTGTTATGAACATATATGGTAACTTTATATACATACACACACGTGTGTGTGTGTGTATGTTACCATTAACATATGGCTTTTCCATGCTAATCAGATTATCTAGTTTAGCAATCAGAAGAAAACATCTAACCCCACTGCACAGAGGGATTCCGGGATGTGTTTTGATCCCTGTGAACAAAGAAGTAGCAGCACAATAGAAGTCTAAAGGCAGAATCTCAAAATTTAAAAAAAATGACTGACACCATGCAAAGAAAACATTTCACAATTTTCAAAAAAAACAACAACATATTTATAAAGTTATAAGCACGCCATTCAAAATCATTATCTCCTGCTGATGTCAGCTGCATCTACAGCGGTGGATTTTTTTTTTTCAAAAGCATCCCTGCTACAACACTTTTAAGCAAAACAGGCAAAAACAAAACTCGTTGATTTAACCCACATAAATGTAAACAAAATTTCCCTTTAGCATAACTACAAAAATTATAAACAATGTGGCAGGGAGGAAAGGTAGTAGAGTAGTAGAGCCTGGATGGTTTAGATCAGGGTGTCAAATTCCATTTCATTGAGGACCGCATCAGGGTTGTGTTTGACCTTGGGGGGGCGGGGGCTGGGGGGGCATGGCCAGGGTAGGCATGGCCAACTCGACGTTACTTGTGTCAGAGGCCTGAACACTCTGCCAGTGGAAACAGGTTCCTGAGCTCCATTTTCGGCTACAACAGCCTCCTGCAACCCTCTGCCAGCGAAAACAGAGCCTGGGAGTGTCACTGATGGCCCTCGCGAGCTCCATTTTCAGCTGCGATGGCCTCCTGCAACCCTCTGCCAGGGCTGCACTCAGCCCTCCCGAGCTCCATTTTCACTGGCAGAGGCACCATGGGCTGGTCCTTTACTTTTCCAGGGCAGCCCCGCAGGCCAAATCTAAGCACCCCGTGGGCTGGATCCATGGTGAAATCCAAATTTTTTTATTACCGGTTCTGTGGGCGTGGCATGGCTTGGTAGGTGTGGTTTGGTGGGCGTGGCAGGGGAAGGATACTGCAAAATCCCCATTCCCTCCCCACTCCTGGGGGAAGGATATTGCAAAATCTCTATTTCCACCTCACTCTGGGGCCAGCCAGAGGTGGCATTCGCCGGTTCTCCGAACTGCTCAAAATTTCCACTACCGGTTCTCCAAAACCTGTCAGGACCTGCTGGATTTCACCCCTGGCCGGATCCAGCCCCCAGGCCTTGAATTTAACACCCCTGGTTTAGGTAATATTCAGAGAAATAGGCCAAGTTGATTCTCTAACTTAGTATGATGGAGTTTCCTATTGTTATGCCTAATTGTCTCATAAATGAAATCCCCAATTCTGGAAAGAAACATTTTACTCACATGCATATTGTTTATTCTGTTGCGATTTAATGTCCTTCTATAATAGCTAAAGTCGTTTTGAATTGCTGGGTTTCTCATCTGAAACAACAAAAGGAAGATCAACTTCAATGTTCTTACAGAGAACTGACAATTAAAACATTCTGCATTGTCCAAGTATTGCTTTCTCCTTACTAACCTTAAGTTCATCAAAGCGGAGAGTAAAATGCAAGATCTCTGCAAACTGTTTTGCTAGGGCTTGCTCTCGCTCTAAGTGTTGAGTTGGTGTGTAGGGTGGACAAGTCAAGGATTCTAATAAGCTCTGCAATGCTTTTTCTGGAAAAAGAACACCAAAATATTCAATTTTGTTTCATTTTTTAAAAAAGGAATCTTCCTGCTGCTTTAGAAAAGCGATTGCTTAAACATTCCAAAAATGTTCAGTTGCATAATTGAAGGCTACTTGGAGGAAAACAGCAAAATACACTGCTCAAAAAAATAAAGGGAACACAAGCAGAAGACATCCGAGATCTGAATGAATGAAATAGCCTTATTAAACACTTTGTTCGTTACATACAGTACTTTTGTGTTCCCTTTAGTTGTTTGAGCAGTGTATAAACTACTGTATGTAAAGAACAAAGTATTTAATAAGGCTATTTCATTCATTCAGATCTCGGATGTCTTCTGCTTGTGTTCCCTTTATTTTTTTTAGCAGTATACTTTAAATGTGAAATAATTTACAATTTATAGAAACAAGTGATAAAACTTTTAGAGGAAAGGATAAGCTTTAATCTTTCACCATTTACTGTTCAGTAAGGAATATGGAGTAGCCCAGTGCAAGATTTCAACACAACTCTTAGAGAGATCAAATCTGGAAGCTGATGCTTGTTGTAAACTCAACCAGTGTCAGGGACTGGGGTAGGAGAAGGGAAAGAGGGGAAAAAAAGACCTTATGGTATAACTACATGGGACTGCAATTCAAACAGGTGAAAAAAGTATATACTGTATTAGCATTCTTCTTGTCTGAATTTGATACAGATAGTCCTCGACTTAATAGCTGCAATTGGGATCGGATTTTTTTGTCGTAAGTCAGCACAGTCATAATGCAAGTCACCGTATGACCAGACTCAATTTTATGAACATTTTACTGCAGTTATTAAACGAATCATGGCTGTTAAATGAATCATGTGGTCATAAAGCAAATCCAGCTTCCACAACTGAATTCTCTGTTAAAAACTGGCTGTTGCAAATTGCAATCAGGTGACTGCAAAATGTTGAAATTAGTCACAAGTGTGAGCTGGATGCCATATGCCCAAATTGCAGTCACATGAGCACAGGGATGGTGCACAGTCATACATGCAAGGACAGATCATAAATCACTTTTTCCAAGGCTGACGTAACTTTGAACCATTGTTAAATGAATGGCTCTTAAGTCGATGAGCCTGTTAAGGCTTATAGAATTGACATTGATAACTATGGCCAGTCTGCAACTAATTAATCTCATGGAATAGAATTTAGAAAGCTAATGCTACCGTATTTATTAGTATTCAAGTACCACAAGTTTACTTTTTAGTTTTTGTTGCAGCAAATCAACATGGCTCTTCTTTTGCATGCTTTATCTTTCTGGATGTTTTAATAGGTATGAGTAATTGGCAGCCTGCAATTCACAAGCTTTTTTTTTAAAAAAAACAAAACTCTTTAAACTTTCACAGCCCTTAGAAGCTCTGCTTCTAAAGTCTGGTAACAAACTAACAAGTAATAAATTTGTGCCAGTTTTTGACAGCAAACTAACAAAATCAACTAAATTATAAATCCTGGGAAAAGTGCAGAATTTTCCCTTTTCTAAAACCCAATAAGAACTGCATTTTTTTTTAAAAAAAAAAACCTGTTTAATAAAAATTATTTTTTTAAAAAAAGAACTGCATTTCAAACTTGATAAATTCAGATCACCTTCTATGATACCATCATTCTATCCTTGCAATTCTAGCAATTAAAAAAAATAGCAAGAAGCTTAGTTTTCGACAGCCTCCAAGGTACTGTATGTATCGCTGCTCTAACTACATTCTTCGAAGAATTCATGCACACAATGTTCAGAGATGCCTATATCCAAGGAAAAAAATGTAACAGGGCAGTAGAAAATGTCCAATAATATTCACAAAAGTTCATGAGCTAGCCAGTTCTTGAGAGCATAAAAGAAAGAACCTCACCTAGTCTGAGAGAAAATTCATAGAACCGCTTTAACCTCACAACCAGAGGGCATACTGAATTCCATGCTCTTTCCTGCAGCTGAATATCATTCGGGTTTTGTATTGCCTGGAAAACAGTAAAAACTTGAAAAAAACTTCATTTATTTAACGTCACAGTGCCATCCTGTCCTTCCCATGAATGAACAGTCAGAATGAAAGCTAATTCGCATACACTATGGCATTTGTCTTTCTCTCAAAGAATTTAGTGTGTCCCATTTTTTTTTTAAATCCCAGAAGCTTTTGACAAGAAATCTCTTCCAACTTTTGGCAAGAGTGGTTTGCCCCTATTTTAGGAGTTAATGGGATGAACGAGAGGAAATTTGTTGGGATGGGGAGACAATATATATATATATACAGTCCTTTAACAGAACATGTATATATACATACATACATATGTACACTGATTTATTAGGATGAATTTCACTGAGAGATCTTAATTATTTTGTCAATTTCTTACTTTTTAAAATATCTTTTCTCTTTTCCCCCTCTCTCTACTTCTTTAAATAAATAAGATAATAATTTAAACAATGCCTATTTCGAGTCAAGGGAATAAGAGTCTGTTTTATTAGCCCCCTCCATATCTATGGAGATTCTCAGTCATCCAAGTCATGGTTGTCCCAAAGGTGCTTTTTCAAAAGGCAACTGGACTTTGTTTTTTCTTGAAGTTGTTAATTCAATTCTCATCCCAGAAACACAAATCAATTGCTGGTCTGGCAAGTATGCTAGAAACTTTTTGGCCACTATTCACTTCTCAGGTCCCATTATTATTGAGTTTAATAACAAATAACCTTAGGAACAAAGTCTTATCTGATGCAAATGTATACATCTGTATATATCCACAGACTGAACTACTAGTTTCTAATTAACAATAGGAAAGTGTAACACTCTTAAATTTAAATTAGATTATCATTTTGATAATTTCCCACAATAATTGGCTGCAGTGATAGGGGTTTTTTTTTGGTTTTAGTTCCCAAAAGGAGATCTCTGCAAATGTCTCTTAAAATGTGAATAGCTCTTCATTTTAAATTTTCAGTTTTGCATATTATAATTCCAAGAAATCCTGGCTGCATTGTTTCAATACAAAAAAAAAATTACATAAATCGCACACTTGCGTTTAATTTGCTTCTTGAGAATATATTGTTTTCCTATAATATAACTGAACGCACATCTCTAATCTCTTGTCCAGCTCCTTTGTAAGACTGCAGGTCTGAAAGCATATTTTCTGAGTCCTGTAAAACAGCGTTGACTTGGTTCCATATTTCCCTTTCTCCATCAGTAGGCTGAGCATCTAGATAAAACATAAAAAGCAAGTATTGCAAAAAGCAGACAACTGTAATCGGGACAATAATACAAAGTATAATTATTGTCAACTAAAATTCATTGGTTATTTGATCCACAGTTTACTACTTTCATATAATTCTTGTGACTATCCATTTTCAGATCCATTTCATTAAATTATAACCAAGATCAAAATTTGCGCTTCTTGCCACTCATACATACAAATAGGAAGAACTATTTGCAATTTTTAAAATTGTAATTGATTAACCAAAGTTGACATCAAAGATGTCCCTGGACTAAAGTCAGCCTAGGTAAGGAAGGTGAACTTTTAATTTTTTAATTAAACTTTATATGCATCTCCAGGAATGTGATTTATTCAATGAGTAAAGAGTTCTCCCTGTTTCCAGTCTAAATAGTCCAGTGTTGTGTCTTGCCGATTACTCTTTTCATTTTTACTTCAGTAGCAAAATTATTGCCCTATAACATCAAATTTAGAAGAAAATTGTTAAATTAAGTATATCAGTTAGAATTATGACTTTAAAAAAAGAATTAAAAATTAGCAATTTCTTTTGGACTCCAAAAGTCCACCCACAATAGTGACATTTTCAAGAGACTGGAAATACCTAGAAGCCTCCTTGTGTCCCTCAATATTTAATTTAAACCAGGTATTTGCTTGGTATTTGACATGCTGTATATTGTTTTTTTTTTTTTCCTGAAAATATCATAGGAATGACAGTAGTGTTGGGAACACGTCTTTATCAAGAATCCAGGTGCTATTCCCAGTACAATCTGAGCCACAAACATTTTTCTAGGCACAAATCTTTATAATGAACCTGTTGGATTGTTTGTCCATTCTATACCGAGACTAAATGAATGAAGGTTTTACTATGGTCTTAGATCAAAGTACTACTAAAATACAATTGATATAGAGCACAGATTAATTGATAATGCGATGGTATCCAACTGAAAGAGAGAAAGAAAGGGGCCATATTAAAGTCATCTCAGTCAGCAGAACTGGGGAGGGAGCAGCTCCAATACCCAGATGCAAAGAGAGGGGGTATGACTTTTCCCACCCTTCTTGTGGTGAGTGACGGTAGCAGAGGGAAGCCTTCTCTATCCATACAATGTTCTAAATCATGGGATGGAAGGAGAGCTTGTCTGGATAAAGGCTCCACAGTAAACACTGAGGTTCTCCAGAAGCCCATTCCTCATAACTATACTCCCTGAAGGACTAGTTCATCATTGGCTACATAAAACTGGATATGTGGATCACTATTTTTAGAAACTAAATATATCACTAGATGAAGGTATAGGTAAGCACATAATCAATTCTTCCAGACCCAGGAAAGCCAATCCATGCTATATATATATATCCTGAATTCTGCATAGATCATCTGGAAAAAACCCCTCTCCTGCCATCCTTCACGTAATCATCTTCTAACAGACGAGACCACACTATCTGAATGTGCCTGTTGACTGAGCCTAATAACTAGTTTTCTGTTCACTCAATGCTGTTTCATCCAGCAATAGCATGTAGTTATTTAACATGTCTTAGAGTTCAGCTCTGAGAATTGTAGGAAGTATTTCCAAAGAATCAATTTCCTCCTGCTTCGCGTGCGTTAAATTAAAGTGCAGTTGTGAAACCTAACAGCACACATATTATGAGAGAAATGCTTCCTGCAAATGTTCAAAATGTACTGTGCAAGTTATTAATTAGGTAGGAACAGTGTCTAAAAATCTTTACTTTTAACAATGCTGCAGTTGAAAACACTCGAGGTGCAAAGGAAAAAAAACCTTTAGGAGAAAAAAAAGAAGTAAAATCTTGTACTTCTTCATCACCCACAGTTCATTTGGGTAGATGAATGATGTTACACAGATGAATTCATCTGTGTAATAAATAAATCTGGAGGATCTAGACTGAGTTAAGATTTTGCATTTATGACTTTAACATCTTAAACTCATTCCAATATGACAAGACAAATGAGGCACTGGGGATAATGGCTAGATAATGGGTGTAAAATCTTTCCACTGTCTTTGGCAAGGTTTGACTCAGCCATTACAGAAAGTAAAGTTCCTATTCCCAACTAATTGTTCTATCCAACTAATAGGTTCTCCTGCTTAAGCAGGGGGCTGGACTAGAAGACCTCTAAGGTCCCTTCCAGCTCTAGTTTAGTCTAGTCTAGTCCAATCTAGTCTAGTCTATTATTTCTATTTTACTCTATTCATTGTATTTTTATTAGCAATCCTCTTCTATCCATGAAACCTGACAAGCCTTCAATATAAGCTCAATATACATTGATGCAAAGTTCAAATCCTTTTCATTGTAAAATCCACATGCCTCATATCTGAAATATCACAGAAATATATTCAGTATTTTTCATACAGTTTTCTACGGACTGGGAAATTATAATATCGAGAAGGCACTTTCATAATCAATCAATTCAAATTCATAAGTAATATGAATCTCTTAATATAATATTAAAATTGTATCATTGACTCATACTATTTTGGATGTCAACTTCTGTCATAAAACATAAAAAGGTAGACCTCGATTTACAACAGTTGGATTAGTCACCGTTCAAGTTACAACGGCACTGGAAAAAATGACTTATGACCGTTTTTCACATTTACAACCATTGCAGCATCCCCATGGTCATATGATCAAAATTCAGATGCTTGGCAACTGGCTGAAACATATGACAGTTACAGTGTCCCGGGATATGTCATCCCCTTTTGCGACCTTCTGACAAGCAAAGTCAACGGGGAAGCCAGATTTAACGACTGCGGTGTTAAATGGGGAAGCCAGATTTAACGACTGCATTTAACAACTGTGGCAAGAAAGGTCGCAATATGGATCGAAAATTCACTTGACAAATGTTTCACTTAACAACAGAAATTTGGGGCTCAACTGTGGTTGTGAGTCAAGCACTACCTGTATATAGTTCTTTTTCTTTCTAATTTCATAGTGAACACTCTGTAAAGGTTTCCCTGTCCAGTCCTGTCTGACTCTAGGGTGCAGCTGCTCATCTCCATTTCTTGGCTGAGGGAGCCAGCATTGTCCAAAGATATTTTCTGTGGTTATGTGACCTGAATGCTATAGGCGCACGGAACACTGTTACTTTCCCACCGAACGGGGAAGCATTTGCATGCTTTCGTACTGCTAGGTGGACAGGAGCTGGAGCAAGGAACAGGAGCTTATTCCATTGCACGTGCCCGGGTCTCAAACCCGGTATGTCAGTTCTCCAGCTGACAAGCTCAGCATCTTTAACTGCTGAGTCACAGGGTCCAGCTAAACACAAAATGCACTGTGCTGTAATTTGCTAACTTCAAATGGAAACAGTAACATACAATAGTTCCTGTCTGGCATTTCAGCTGTAATATCACTTTTGAAATGTTTTATAGCAGAAGAAGACACAATGTGAAGCTAGTCATATGTTGGTAGATAGCTGGAATTAGAAATCCAACAACATCTGACAGTCACCAGTTTCTCATTTCTGAGTTGTACTATTATATAAGCATTGTAGGCAAAGTGTCATGCTTTAGGGAAATCTATCAGTGTAATCTCTTTTAAAACCACAATAATAAGAGAATATAATATAACCTTTGTGTTAGTTGCACAGAAATAGATTTTCTATGATGACTCTATTTTAAATATAATACCAGTGTTCTTCAGAATTTTTTTTTCATTTTAGCTTTCCTTTTACATTTTTTTTAAAAAAGATCGCTGCATATCATCTACTATTCTGTGGTCTGACATGATTTGTTTCTTTAATTTTGTACCATTATCTGGTAATAGAAATATATTATATGAAGCAGCAGATTTGAAAAGTTTATTGTAGCACGGATATTAATTTTGAATAGGAATCTGAACGCCTAGAATCTCTGCATTCCATACAAATACTCATGTAAATATTTTTCAGGACTCTGAGAAAATTCAAGTCTAAATAAAGTATTGAATACTTTGAACAGGAAGCTCCTATGAGGCCTGAAAGTGATAAAATACCCCTTAGCAGAACTTCCAACCAAATTCTTATTTAACTGCTTGTATTGAGCAGCAACGTACACTTACCTTATTGTTTTAAAAATAAGGTATTAAATAGCACACAGGGATAGAACCCAACTGAGTGGATAAAGGGGATTTAATGCAGTAGTTGATCACTTTCATGAGAAAACTCAAGCTACATGCACACTGCAAGCTGTAGTACACTGCAAAATGTAGCAGAAAAATTAATGCGTAAAAGTATATTATTTCACCTGCGTTTATACAAAAAGCTACAGGAAATGTAGTCAAGGATTTGTTCAGTTGCTATATTTTGTTTGTATTGATAATAGAGATTAATTCTCATATGGGGTGCCCTTAGTCTACATCTGGTCCTCAACAGATTTCCATGCAAACAGTGACCCTCCCTCCTAATAGTAATCAACTAGGCACCAAGAATTTTTCATCGAGAATTTTTATAGTTTATCAGAAAGGAAGATTATTCCCCCTCCATGTAATTTAAGAGTTGCTGAGAGTCAGCCAGCATACTGGTAACCCTCGATGTATAACCACATTTTGGACCAGAATTTTTCGTTGCTATGCAAGATGGCTGTTAAGTGGGCCATGCCTGATTTTGCAACCATTTTATGCCATGGTTGTTAAACAAATCATGGCGGTTCTTAAATGAATCCTGTTAATCCAGCGAATCCCCTATTGACTTTGCTTGGGAAGATTGCAAGTCTGGTATCTTGCAATTTGTAAGCTTGCAATTATCACATGACCCTGGGATGCTCTAACCATTAGAAATACAAGCTGGTTGCCGACTGCCCAAATTTTGATCATAGGCCACAGAGGTGTTGCGACGGTCTTAAGCGTAAGGACCAATTATAAGTCACTTTTTTCAGTGCCCTTGTCTCTGAATAGTCACTAAACTAATGTTTGTTGGACTGTCTGTACAAATTTAAAGATTAATAAATTTAAATCATTAATAAATTATTATCACATGTGAACGGGGAAATGATTGTCTTATATTCACTGATAAGAACAGAAATGAGCTACTGGAAACAAAATGAGCAAAAAACACGATACTAATAAAGTTAAACTGTTGCATGGTAGAGGCAACTTGTTATACAGCTAATCTTTGACTTACAACGGTTCATTTAGTAACCGTTCAAAGTTACAATGGCACTGGAAAAAATGACTTATGGCCGTTTTTCACACTTATGACCATTGCAGCATCCTTATGGACACATGATCAAAATTCAGATGCTTGGCAACTGGTTCACATTTATGACGATTGCAGTGTCCAAGGTCATGTGATCCGCTTTTGCGACCTTCTGATTCTGGGGAATCCGGATTCACTTAATAACCATGTTACTAACTTAACAAATGCAATGATTTGCTTAACAACTGTGGCAAGAAAGGTCGTAAAAGAGGGCAAACCCATTTAACAAATGTTTCACTTAGCAACAGAAATTTCAGGCTCCATTGTGGTCGTAACTCAAGGACTACCTGTACTTAATAGAGCTCTCTTTTGCTTCTATATACAGTTACCTCTTTATCTCTCTTTAGTCATTTATTTTTCTCCCCTTCTCTTTTCTTCCCAGTGTAATTGGAATCCCATCTTCCCCTACTTTTTTTCTTTGCTGTTTCTGCTGAAAGGGAAAAGAAGAGGGCATATGCGGTGCAGGCATATGCGCATGCGTGTATACTGGGACAAGCAAGACTTATTTATGTGTGCGTGAAAGAAAAATTCTACACGCAGATGGGTATCCATTAATTTTGTAAACGAGTAGCTTATTTTATAAACAATTAATTTAATTAGCTTTAATCAATTTTATATATATATATTTCGTCAACTCAACTGATCCGTTTGGGGATACACTGTTATAATTTTAAACTGTTTTAATAGGGTTGTTGATTTTAATTTTTTTCATTGTGATTTGTATTGGAATTTGTCATTTTGTAAGCCGCCTTGAGTTCCTAGGGAGAAAGGCGGCATATAAATCGCAATAATATATATATTATTATATATATATGTTTTCTGAGGTTTTCGCGGGTATTTGTATGTAGGTCTTTGGTTATTCGGGTTTTCTCCCGCGTAAAATTGGAAGTGTCTTGGTAAAATTGGAAGTGCCAAGACACTTCCAATTTTATGCGGGAGAAAACCCGAATAACCAAAGACACACACACATATATATATATTCTATTCTGGCCTATGCCAACTCCCTGAATTGGAAACATTTGATTGACAAAATAGAGAAGCATTAAACAGGATTTTGGTTGTTTACATTTAGTTATATCAGACCCTTTGAATTTGCCTGTTTCCTTTCATATACTATTCAAGTTTTGAAATAATATACCATAGAAGTTTAGTAATGTGCTTTTAGACACACCAATAACACAAGAAACAAAATAATTTACTTGCAAGTTTATTTTGAATATAGCACAAGCCACTTATAAGGATCGGTTTAGAATAGGCTGTGGTGATTTTGAGGCCCATTATTATTATTTTTTGTGTAAAGATATAACACAGGGTCAAAATTTGGATGTGTGAACCAAGAAGCACTAAATCTTCTCTCCACAGGCTGTGGTCTTCATCCGTGTTTTGAACCCTTTTCAAAATGGAGGCTGCTGAACTAATTAGAATTTGTCCCAAAATAAGCCCTCAAGCCAAGTTCTTTTAGCTAATGTTCACAATCACAAGCAATTATTACTGGGATTTTGGATGAACCAAACAATGACTTTTCAGAATGAAAGAGGAGAACTCCAAGTGGCGTGAACTAGAGTACTTGCATGGTAGATTAATATATACTATTTATTAGACTTTTTTAATGTTAAAAAAAAACCCTCCAAAAATAATGCAGGCCAAACTTTGCTCACTTTCAAAGTCTAGGAAAAAAAGAGGCCCTTGATCAAAGTCTGTACAAGTGAGAACTTTTAAAAGATTTCCCATTTGGTTTCTGAAAAATAGAAAAGGAACAGAATAAAGGTACTCAGGAACAAATCTTGAAAACACTGTTATGTCTATTGTACTGCTTGAACAAGTTTTATCTGTCAAGGCAAATCAAGCTTAAACATTCCTTCTCAACTAGTCCTTAAGTCAGGGAAAACAATGTTCCGAGCTTTGAACTTACTTTCAAAATCCAGGAAAAAATGTGGGTAGTTTTCAATTTCTCTGGTAAGGACTTTAAGAAGATTACCCATACCAGCGAAACCTAGTGAATGCAACAAAATCATAAAGAGTTATATATGCAAAAGCAGAAGATGAAAAAAAATAAGGGCTTGGCATGCACTGCTAGTTCAAACTGAAACAGGAACATTCAGACTCTTTACCAAAGTAATTAACGATCAACGCCACAATAAATGTATTGGGAATATTGACCAAATATGAAAAATATATTCAGAAACCATACTTTGTGACTGAGAGAAACATGTAATGAAGGCAGAATTTCCAGTGGTGTGCTGTGCACGTTCTTTCCTTGTATACAGGTAATCCTCTATACTTACAAATTAACTTAGTGACCATTCAAAGTTATGTCATTGAAAAAAGTGACTTATGACTGTTTTTCACACTTACGATCACTGCGGTATCCCCATGGTCATGTGATCAAAATTCAGACGCTTGGCAACTGACTCATACTTATGATGGTTGCAGTGTCCCAGGGTCATAATATGATCACCTTTGGCAACCTTCTGACAAGCAAAGTCAATGGGAAAGCCAGATTCACTTAACAACTGTGTTACTAATTCAACAACTGCAGTGATTCACTTAACAAATGTGGCAAGAAAATGTGTAAAATGAGGCAAAAATTCACCTAAAATGTCTTGCTTAGCAACAGAAATTTAGGGTTCAATTGTGGTTGTAAATCGAGGACTACTTGTATCTGGACAAGCAGCATTTTGTAGATTTTGACTGCTTTAATGAAAGTGAATGTTCACTCTTTGAATGCATCCACATTTTAAAAGTGGATATTTATATTTATAGTTTAAATATAAGCTTAAACAGTTTAGTATACGGTTCTGCGAAAGGACATTGTTTCCTCTTTTTTCTTTTCTATGATTCATCCATTGTTCCAGAGCAGATTTCAGGAAGCATGCTGGGGGTTTCATCTGGAAGCCAATCAATTTCTTTGGAAGAAAGACACCACTGGAAGAAACTCAATATATTTATGATAAACATTAAAAATCCCTGAACTCATATATGCATACAAAATATAGCTGAACATAATTACAGGACTTGTTTATATCTTAATTATTTTTCTATTCTGCAAATAAGATCTGATAAGTTTTCTTTAGCAATTACTATTGAATATTACTATTGAATGTAAATGATTATTAGTTAATTACAATAAGATAAAGAGAATGGGCCATTATCAGATCATAAGTGGTTTGCATTGTTACATCTAGCAGTGTGGTAAAATTAGTTCTGTCTAAGAAACTTTGGTTGATTTATTTGACAGAATGATCTAATCCTGAATTGGTTTTACACTTTATTATTTTGTTTACAGAAACTGAATGAACCTGATTTCAGTTAAAAAAAAAAAAAGCAACGACTCAGAAGTAATATAGTACTAATTCTCATATTAGGTATAGATATCGTAGATACAGTAAATACACTCTAAATCTCTATTTTGAAATCTCTGAACAATACTGGGCAAGAATTCAGAACAATACAGTATCTGAACAAACTTATTGGTACAATTAATTTTAATATATAATCATTCAAAACAAATTTACTCATTTCAATGAATTTCAAACACACTAAGGCTTAGAAACTCCTAGATATATAGCAGTCTTTCTGTAAAAGTAGGTATATCAAACCTTTTCCATTACTACTGTAAATTTCCCCCAAAATAAGACCCAACTGAAAAATAAACTCTAGCATGTTATTTTAGGATGCTGGTAATATAAGCCCTACCCCAAAAATAAGGCCCAGTTAAGATCGTCAGCCAGGTGGATGCATTTAGTACTGTATGTCCCCGAAAATAAGACCTAACTGTAAAATAAACCCTAATGCATCTTTTGGAGCAAAAATTAATAGCTGGTCTTATTTTCATGGGAAACACGGTAATATTTTGCATGCAATATTAACAAATGAGGGAGGGAGGGAGGGAGGAAGGAAAGAAGGAAGGAAAGAAGGAAGGAAGGAAGGAAGGAAATTTTTATGTTAAAGTTGGCAACGTGGTATAAATACAGTTTTAAAATACAACTATATGATTATCTAAATTTAACTCTGAATCCAGCAACACTTTTATATATCATGCACTGTACAAAATGTAAGAATCATGATTAAAATGGATTTCAAATATAGTACAATTAAGAACCACACATTTCCAACAAGAATTTAAAAGTTCAACTTACCTCATGGAAAAAAGGAAGTCACTGTATAATCCTAGTGTATTTTTGTCCTAAACCATTAGCATTATTCTCCAGAAACACTTAATCTCAAAGCATCCTTATTAAAAACAAACAAGCTATCCAAGATTGGTAGTCATGTTGACTATATTATCTCTAATATCAGAGGTACTATGTCTTTGAATGCCAGTTGCTAAGGAACATGAGCAAACGTGGGCTCTCAAATGCTGGTTGGCTTATCCTTGAAAGAGAATTCCATGCTAAGTATACAATTGTTGTTGTAAGTCAAGGATTATGTGTGTGCATTTTTTTCTTATTGAATTATCACTGTATTAATAATAATGTGGGTTGTTTTTTTTACTTCACTGTTAAAAAATTGAATATTCCATGTTCCTTCTTTCACTACTATTAAGCCTGAGTTTTCTCTGAATACAAGTCCTGGATTCTTTTTGCAAAGCCATGGCTTCCTAGCCTGGATTGAGGAAAATCCTAGTTACCCTCAACTATTATTAACAGACACACACACAAAAAACCCATTCACAAGAATGTAACTCCAAAAATCTACCCTACCTCTTAAAATGCTTAGTCAAGATGCTCAGGAAAGCTGGTAAGTAGGAGAGGAAAACAATGTTCTACAATAACTGGTATTCAGAACTACATGCTTTGTAATTTAAGATGCCTTCTATACAAGCACAGTAACAAGAAACACAGAGATGGAAATTAAAACATGACTATTGACTCAGGGATACTTTGAAGCATTTAAATTATTAATTAAGTAATTGAAAAGGGTAAATTGTTTTAAATTAAATTTTCCAGGCCTGCCACCTGGAGTTTCATTCCTACTGTAAGTAAAATTTGCATACTTAATTTTTCACAGGCGATATATTGAATAACAGGTATGATATTAAGCAGTGAATAAGTCTATGCTAATTTTTGTAAGTTGAACTCTCACGCTATGGTGGTTCCAAGAAAAATATTCTCCATCTCATTAAATATAAACAATTCCTAGTGGAGATCTTGAGAGCTTTCAAATGACTCAGTTCAATGAAAAATTACAATTGAGAATTAAGTACCAAGGGGGAAAACGAATGAAATAAGTTTTAAATATTTTACAATGGCAGTAAGAAATATCATAAGGCTACCTCATGATAGAAACCTTACCTATCTAGAAGGAAAGAAGGAACTGGGCTGCACAAATTTAGAACTCTATGAGGAACCTCCATCCCAAAATTATAGTTTTTAATGTAGCAAAAAAAAAAAAAGTTTAACCTTAAATTTATTAAATTATTTTCATGTAATCTTACATTTAGATTGAATTTAATATTTGTACTTGCCCTAACTCCAGTTTTTGTCTGTCCTGCCTGCCTAACTACTAGAGAAAATTTGCCTGCCAACTAAAGTATCTGTGGCTCTTACACTGAAAGTTGTATATACCATTGAAAAAAAAAATCGTTCCTTAACATGTTAGTGAAAAAAATGACATCATTCTTTACTTATTAAGAAAAAGCAGAATACAAATCTACTACAGGTAATCCTCGATTTATGACTGCAATGGAGCCTAAAAATTTATGTTGTTGAAGTGAGACATTTGTTTTAAATGAGTTTTGCCCCATTTTATGACTTTTCTTGCCACAGTTATTAAGTGAATCATTGTAGTTGTTAAATTAGTAACCTGGTTAAGTGAATCTGGCTTCCCCACTGACTTTGCTTGTCAGAAGTTTGCAAAAATGATCACATAACCCTGGGACACGGCAACCATCATAAATATGAACCAGTTGCCAAGCATCCAAATTTTGGTCACGTGACCATGGGGATACTGCAACAGTTGTAAGTGTAAAATACAGTCATAAGTCATTTTTTTCCCAATGCCATTGTAACGTTGAATGGTCATTATACAAACTGTATTAAGTCGAGGACTACCTGTACGTATATCTGAAAATGACTTCTAAAACAATTTTGCCTCCCCTTTACAAATCAACCATTACTCCCACCCCATGCACAATTCTACATCCTATCTAATGAAACTAATTCTCAGTTCCTAAAACATAATTTACAGAACAAATTTTGAAAAACACTTGGAGATAAAGAACATATTCATACCAGGGGCGGGTTTCAAACCCCGTTGCTACCGGTTTGCTTGTGGGTGTGCGCGTGCTCGCACACACGACGCTTCTGCGCATGCACAGAAGCGTTCGGGCCGGTGGGGGCAGCCTCCCACCACCGCCATCAGTTCACCCGATCCGGGGCGAACCGGTAGCAACTCACCCCTGATTCATACATTCATTTAATATAAGGAATCATATCCGTAATGTTAGAAGTCAATGTTTCTATTCCATGTTATGTCCTAAAGCTGGTAAAACACTTTTAAAGGACTCTTTAAACAGGTGAAGAGGGGAATCTCATCTTGACAATCTAGACCAGGGGTGTCAGACTCGCGTCGTCACAGCGGCATCATGTGACATATCACAACTTTTTCCCCCTTTGCCAAACCGGGCATGGACGTGGCCAGAACGTGATGCATCTGGGCCGTGGGTTGTGGGCCGCGAGTTTGACGGCCCTGATCTAGACTGACCATTGGATGTGAGATAGCACTGCTTGGGCTGATGCTATGTTTACTCTAAGACATTAATCTGCAGAAACATCCTAGGCCCAGACCTTTGCTTTTTCTGTTCGTAGGAAGAATCTTCCAGAAAAGGTATAATATTTTTCCTCTCTAAGGGCCCTCTACTACATTGTTTCTTTAACCTGCTGAGACTAATCTTTGAGGACTTGATGAAGAGCATGTAGTGCTTATAAGGCCAGATGAACTTTAGGAATTATAGACAAATGCAAGGTTGAAGGGAACAAAAAAGCAAGAATT